ATACAACTCCCCAAAAGATCCCAATTCGAGGAAGAACATGGCAGCCATTTCCTGGATCGCACAGGCCCCTAAAGGATCTGAATTCGGGGGAGAGTGTGGCATGTTTTCTGGATCACACAGGCCCCCAAAGGATCCCAATTCGGGGAAGAATATGGCATCCCTCTCCTGGATCTCACAGGCCCCTAAAGGACCCAAATTTTGGGAAAGAACCTGGCACCCATTTTCTGGATCGTACAGGGCCTCAAAGGATCCCACTTGGGGAAAGAAACTGGCCTGGATCTCACAGGCCCCTAAAGGATCTGAATTCGGGGGAGAGCGTGGATCACACAGCCCCCCCCAAGGATCCCAATTTAGGAAAAAACCTGGCACCCATTTTCTGGATTGTACAGGTCCCCAAAGGATCCCACTTGGGGTAAGAACCTGACCCCCCTCTCCTGGATCACCCAACCCTCCTAAAGAATCCCACTTTTGGGAAGAACCTGGCCCCCATTTTCTGGATCACACAGCCCCCACCCCAAAAGGATCCCACTGGCGGGAAGAACCTGGCCCCCATTTTTTTTTTTCAGATCACCCAGACCTCCTAAAGGATCCCAATTCGGGGGAAGAACCTGGCACCGCTCTCCTGGATCACACAGTCCCCAATCGGGGAGGGGGGGGCAGATTGGCGCACGCACTCAAAAGTCTGCACAACTAAAGGGATTGCAATTTGGGGGGCAGTGGGGGGAGAGAGGGTTGGGGGTGCAGTGGGTGGCCCCTCCCAGAGCCGGCCACCCTTTGCCTACAGGAAGGCCCCTTCCCCAGCCGGATCCGGCCTCGGGACCCCCCTGAAGAGCTTGCCACCAACACCTCCCCTCCTTCCCATTGCCACCCACTCCCTGTAAGATTTGCATCGTGCGCGCCAAGCTGCCCTGACCGGTTTTGTCACTCTCTGTCTCTCGCCTGGAGATTCCGATGACGTCAGCCCCCCTTCACCTGGCTGGCTGGCTGGCTTCCGGGAAGGGGTGGGTGGGCAGGACTACAAACTCCAGCATGCAACGCGGTTCTCTCTCTCTCTCTCTCTCTCTCTCTCTCTCTCTCTCTCTCTCACACACACACACACACACACACACACACACCCACCCCCCTGGGCAAAAGGCGGCGGCGGCGGCGGCGGGGGGCGGGCGGAGAGAACGGACGGAAAAAATGTTGTGCCAAATTGCAAAGCTCGCTTCATGGACGGGCCAAAAGCTTGGGGACAGGAGGGGGGAACCCTAACCCGCTCCAAATCTGGCCATCTATTCGCACCCCACCTTCTCTTCTTCCTCTTCTTCCTCCTCCCAGGGATGCCCCAAGGTCACCCCCTCCCTCCCCAACCCGTTGCAAAGCCCCCCACCCCACCGAACCTTCCCCGCTCGAGACCCTTCCCCACCCTTGCAAAAAATTCGAGGAAGGGTCTCTCTTCCTCTTTTTCTTCCCTCTCTCCCTCCCTTTTTATTGTGCATGGGCCACGTGCAAGCCAGGCCGGATCTCCCCGTCCCTTTAAAAAAACCCCACCTGGACCCGTCGCCTCCGTCGCTTCGGGCTGCGGGAGGAGCCGCCGCCTCACGCGGGATCTGCGGCTGTGCATGGCGGGGTCTTTCGCCTGCAAAAAAAGGGGGGGGTGGAGAAAAAAGAGGAGGGGGCTAGGGAAGAGGAGAACCCCCTCCTTACTCAATTACAACTCTTCCCCCCCCCCGTTTCCCCACCCGCTCCCTTGGCAAGCCACCTTCTGCTCTCCCACGCGAGGGAGGGGCGGGGCGAGGCTCCAAGGGGAGGGGGAGGGGGGATGGAAAGTCCCTCCCTCTTTTCCAGCCCCTCCCCTCCCCCTTTCTCCTCTTTCCCTTCCCTCCCTCCCTCAGCTTCCTTTCGTTCCTCGTCTCCTTGCCTTCCCTCCCGTCGGGCGGGCTGCAGCGGGAAGTACCCAGGGAGGTCATCTAGTCCAGCCCCCAGCCCCATCCCACGAGAGCAGGGGAGCCTGACCGAATGAGAGGGGGAAGGGACCTGAGAGAGGTCTTCTCCCCTGCTCGAGCAGGAGAGCCTTTACAAGAGTTCAAAGAGACCTTGGAGGTCATCCAGTCCAGCCCCTTGCTTGAGCAGGAGAGAGAGACCCTATATTACATTACAGGTTACAGATTAACAAGAGTAGGAAGGGACCTTTGGAGGTCATCTAATCCCACACTCCGACTCACCCCTGCCCAAGCAGCCCACACCATGTCTGAAAAACGGCAGTCCAATCTCTTCTTGAAAACCTATTCTCTCCCCCCTCCCCATTCCCCTTTGGCAGAAGGGGAGGACTACACCTCCCATGCCCCGGAGCCCTCCAGCTGCCGCAAGAGACCTGGAGTGAGGGGGAGGGTATCTTCTCCCTCCGAGTTGGAAAAGGAGGGGAGGAGTCTTCTGGGATCAGAATTGGACTGCCATTTGTCAGAAATGGTGTAAGGTCTCCCACTTGGGTGGGGGAGATTGGACTAGATGACCTACAAAGTCCCTTTCAACTCTGATTATGTTATCTGACTGGGCAGCTGGGTTTGCAAAGCACGCTGCTGCAGCTGGAGGCTCGATGGGGGAGGCAACTTTGTCCTATCAACCCACCCACTGTTCCCACATGGAAGGGGAGGGGGCTTCTGGGGGACCCCCCTCCTGCGGCCGGGCTGCTCCCGACATTGGTGAAGGGAGGGCGTGGCAGTCTCAGGAAGAGACCCCTCCTCCTCATCCTCCAGGGAGGGGATATAGCACAATGCTGGCAGGGGAGTTGGACTGGATGACCTCCAGGGACCCTGCCAGCTTGGCTATTCAGTGATTCTTGTAAGGATCTCTTGCTGGAGCAAGGGGTTGGGCTAGATGACCTCCTAGGTCCCTTCCAATTCTCTTATTCTATGTTCTATATATGGAAAGCCTCACCTTCATCTGATGCAGCGCCCTCCTTGCACATGCATACAGACCAATCTCTTTATGCTGCATCACCTGTAAAGTCATGGAATCAATTATTAACCAATCCATCATCCTCCACTAAGAGACAAACAACCTACTCTCCAATAAACAATTTGGTTTCAGGAAAAAACTCTCCTGCAATCTGCAACTCTTACACTGCAAAAACATATGGACGACACAACTCGATCAGGGCAAAGCAATAGACGCAATCTACACAGACTTCTGTAAAGCCTTTGATTCAGTGGTAAACGACAAACTACTACTAAAACTAAAATCTTATGGTATCTCTGGACACCTGCATTAACTGGATAGAAGCATTCTTGTCAAACAGACAACAAATGGTCAAAATTGGGAGTGTCATCAAATTCTGTTATCTGCCAACAGTGGTGTCCCCCAAGGCAGAGTTCTAGGACCAACTCTCTTCATACTCTACATAAACGATCATATCAAGAGCAACTGCATTCTCTTCGCTGACAATGTAAAGCTGTTCAATACCACAGACAATATTGCTACCCTTCAAAAAGACCTAAACTATGTATCAGAATGGTCAAACAAATGGTAACTTCAAATCTCAACAAATAAATGCTCTGTCTTACATATTGGCAAAAAAAAATCAGAAAATAAAATACAAGCTGAATAGTCAAGACCTTGTTGATGATCCAAACTCTGTCAAGGATCTTGGAGTACTCATCTCAAATGATGTAAGTGCTAGAGCCCACTGTAACTACATAGCCAAAAAGGCATTAAGAGTTAACCTAATCTTACATAGCTTTTTCTCTGGTAATATTACACTACTAACTAGAGCATACAAAACATTTGCTAGACCAATACTTGAATACAGCTCATCAGTCTGGAACCCACATTACGTATCTGATATTAACACAGTTGAGAAAGTCCAGAAATATTTCACAAGAAGAGTTCTCCACTCCTCTACTCGTTGCAGAATACCTTATGACACCAGACTTGAAATTCTAGACCTAGAAAACCTTGAACTACACCGCCTTTGGTCGGATCTAAGTATAGTACACTGCTCAAAAAAAAAAAGGGAACAGAAAAATAAGACATCCTAGATCTGAATGAATGAAATATTCTTATTAAATACTTCGTTCATTACATAGTTGAATGCGCTGACAACAAAATCACACAAAAATGATCAATGGAAATCAAATTTAGCAACCCATGGAGGTCTGGATTTGGAGTTACACTCAAAATTAAAGTGGAAAAAAACACTACAGGTTGATCCAACTTTGCTGTAATGTCCTTAAAACAAGTCAAAATGAGGCTCAGTAGTGTGTGTGGCCTCCATGTGCCTGCCTGTATGACCTCCCTACAATGCCTGGGCATGCTCCTGATGAGGTGGCGGATGGTCTCCTGAGGGACCTCCTCCCACACCTGGACTAAAGCATCCCCCAACTCCCGGACAGTCTGTGGTGTAACATGGTGTTGGTGGATGGAGCGAGACATGATGTCCCAGATGTGCTCAATTGGAATCAGGTCTGGGGAACAGGCGGGCCAGTCCATAGCATCAATGCCTTCATCTCTGTACCTAATGGCAGTCAGGCTACCTCTGGTGAGCACATGGAGGGCTGTGTGGCCCCCTAAAGAAATGCCACCTCACACCATTACTGACCCACTGCCAAACCGGTCATGCTGGAGGATGTTGGTGGCAGCAGAACGTGCTCCACGGCGTCTCCAGACCCTGTCACGTCTGTCACATGTGCTCAGTGTGAACCTGCTTTCATCTGTGAAGAGCACAGGGTGCCAGTGGTGAATTTGCCAATATTGGTGTTCTCTGGCAAATGCCAAACGTCCTGCACGGAGTTGGGCTGTAAGCACAACCCCCACCTGTGGACATTGGGCCCTCATAGAGTCTCTTTCTGACTGTTTGAGCAGCCACATGCACATTTGTGGCCCACTGGAGGTCATTTTGCAGGGCTCTGGCAGTGCTCCTCCTGCCCCTCCTTGCACAAAGGTGGAGGTAGTGGTCCTGATGGTGGGTTGTTGCCCTCCTACGGCCTCCTCCATGTCTCCTGATGTACTGGCCTGTCTCCTGGTAGAGCCTCCATGCTCTGGACACTACGCTGACAGACACAGCAAACCTTCTTGCCACAGCTCGCATTGATGTGCCATCCTGGATGAGCTGCACTACCTGAGCCACTTGTGTGGGTTGTAAACTCTGTCTCATGCTACCATGAGAGGGAAATCACCGCCAGCATTCAAAAGTGACCAAACCATCAGCCAGAAAGCATAGGAACTGAAAAGTGGTCTGTGGTCACCACCTGCAGAACCGCTCCTTTATTGGGGATGTCTTGCTACCTGCCTCTGCTTTCCACCTGTTGTCTATTCCATTTGCACAACAGCCTGCGACATGGATTGTCAATCAGTGTTGCTACCTAAGTGGACAGTTTGATTTCACAGAAGTGTGATTGACTTGGAGTTACAGTGTGTTGTTTAAGTGTTCCCTTTATTTTTTTGAGCAGTATATAATAGTAGAATTAGAGTAGAATAGAATGAGAATATAGAATAGAATCAGAATAGAATTAAATAGAATTAGAATAGAATGAGCACAGAATAGAATTAAATGTAATAGCACAGGGGTCGCCAACCTTTTGGACCTCAGGGACCACCAAACTCATTTTAGATCTCAGGGACCACTGACTGGTTCTGTGGGTGTGGCCTAATTTGTGGGTGTGGCTTGGTGGTCATGTGACTGGCTGGGCATGGCTTGTATGTAAATATTATATTTATATAAATATTGAATTTTTTATAAAAAAAACTTTTACCCAAAATCAGGCAAAGCAGGCAGATTGAGTTGCTCACAGAATCATTCTGTGATCTATCTGCCATTGGCTAGCTCAGTCTCTCAAATTTGCTTGCCGTGAGTCTGCACTGAATTTGCTTGCAAGCTAACCTTCAGTCCTAAGGTTCGGCTGTACTTAAAAGCAGAGCTGAAAATCTAAAGACTAGCTAGAAAGCAAGAAATCCAACCATTTCCTGCTTCCTAGCTAATCTAAATCTCCCAGTACAGCAGAACAGCTGATGGTCGGAAAAAGGAAAAATAGAAATTTAGCAGGCAAGTTTACCAGGTAAAGAATGGGCAGGGAGGATTCCTGTGGGCCATGTGGGCAGCACAGCCTTGTTTCTGTGCAGCCTGGATTAATTGCTTTGGGGGGTGCTCTGGGGGTAAGATTTCTCTGCGGCCCACCAAAATTTTCTCATGCCCACTGGTTGGCGACCGCTGTAATAGCAGAATAGACTTAAATAGAATAAAATAACAATGAGACTAGAATAGAGACTTGAATTGAACTGAAGAATGAGAATAGAATTAGAATTAAATAGAATTAAAACAGAATAAGAATGAGAATAAAGTAGAATATAATAGAATGAGAATAGAATGAGAATGTAGAATAAAATAAAATTAATAGAATCAGAATAGAATAAATTAAATCAAAATAGAATAATAGGAATAGAGAATAGAATTAAATATAATAGAATTAGAGTAGAATAGAGAATAGAATTAAATAAAATTAGAATAGAATGAGAATACAGAATCAGAATGAAATAAAATTAGAATAGGAATGAGAATTAAATAGAATTAAATATATTAGAATTAGAATAGAGTAGAATAGAAAGAGAATATAGAATAGATTAAAATCAGAATAGTAGAATCAGAGTAGAATCAGAATAAATTAAATGTAATTAGAATAGAATGAGATTAGATAATCAGAATGTAACAGTAAAAGAGAATAGAATTACATATTAGAATGAGGACAGAATTGAGAATAGAATGAGAATATAGAATCAAAATAGAATAACAGTAGAATAGAGAATAGAATGGAATAGAATTAATTAGAATAGAATAGAATGAGAATATAGAATAGAATGAGAATATAGAATAGAATGAGAATAAAATAGAATAAAATAGAATTAGAATAGAAAGAACAGAATGAGATGTAATTTGAATGGAATAGAGAATAGAATGAATCAGAATAGAATAACAGTACAATAGAGAATAGAATATAATTAAATAGAATTAGAACATAATTAAATATAATAGAATTAGAATAGAAAGAATAGAATAAGATGCAATTAGAATGGAATGAGAATAGAATTAAATAGAATTAGAATAAAAATGAGAATAGAATATAGAATAGAATCAGAATTAGAATAGAATGAGAATAAAATAGAATTAACTATAATAGTAGAATTAGAATAAAAAGAATAGAATGAGAGAATAGAATCAGAATAGAATAACAGTAGAATAAAGAATAAAATTAAATATAATTAGAACAGAATGAGAATAGAATCAGGATAGAATTAAGTTAAGAACAGAATGAGAATAGAACAGGATTAAATAGAATAGTCGAATTAGAATAGAATGAGAATAGAAACTAGACTAGAATTGTCTAGAATAAAATTAGAATGAATAGAATACAGAACAGAACAGGAATTATAAGCAAATGCAGGCCAGGCTTTTAAAAGTAACATCTACCCCTTTATTTATGTCATTAAAAAAAAGTGTACACAGTAGGAAATTGGTAGAAATGCGAACGTGCCGCTTTTCCACCACGGAGCTACCCCCCTGTGGCTGTCAGCCCACATCGGGAATTGGAAGCTGATGATCTGGCCTTTTCTCACCCGTTTCTGACAACCCAAATTCTACTCATTCCATAAATAGGGAAATCATGAGAAAGCGGGCGGGGTGGGGCAGGGCAGCGCTCCAGCCTGGCGTGCGGGGACTCCAATGACGCAGTTCTCCCACAGGGAGACCCAGATGGGTCTCCAGCGGCCTCCAGGGGTCTTGGGAGATGGACCAGGAGACCCATCTCTGCGTCCCCCCACTGCGCGTCTTTTGAAGCTGTACGTTTTGCCTGAGGTTGGAGTCCTGTAGATCGAGGCGAAAGTGAGTCCCCCGTACTGAGCACACCATTCGTGGTACCTGCCCTACTGTCTCTTTTTAAAAAATACATAGTCCTTCTCCCTCCACGAGGGACGGCCCTTGGAGACCAGTGAAGGGTTAACACCGTGAAGGAGGGGGATAAGCCACACCTCCCGTTGTGCGCCCCTCTACCCGGGACTCATCGGTGAATGATTCTGCCTATGGGGGAGGGGGGCATTCAACCCCCATTTTGCTCCACCCCTGAAGTAAACAGGACAACCACCAAGGTCCCTTCCAACTTGGTCGTCCTGCACCTGAACACTTCCCGCCCACCATGCCGTGGCTCTCGCTGAATACCAATGAAATCCTACCAAGTGGTCGTTGTCCCCTTGCCAGCTCCTCAGTTCTTGGAGACCCCAGGGCACGGTGCCATGGGGTTGAGGGTCCCTCTCAACATCCCTGCCCCCAAGACGAAAACTAAGGCACCTTCTGACAGACATGCGGTGTGTTGGGGACAGCCCTTGGAGGCAGGAGGGGCTTCTGTGTTGATTTTCTGCATTCCCTTGTCTGAGGAAAAAGTGGGTGGAGTGAGAGAAGCCGAGACTAAGCGCACAGCAGTAGAAAGACAGCCCCTCCCCTTCTTTAATTCGGTTGCTGAAACTGTCGGGTCGGGTATCCCGCGTGCAGTCCCCCCTCCACTTCTGCCCCGGTCATGTTCCGGTGGCTGCGCTGATGCGCCCGCATGTTGGAGCCCTGGCTGAAGACGCGTGGGCAGAGCGGGCAGGCGTAGGGCTTCTCGCCCGTGTGCAGGCGCTCGTGTGAGACCAGGTTTGACTTTTGGGAGAAGCGCTTGGGGCAGCGGCTGCAGGCATACGGCTTCTCCCCGGTGTGGATCCTGATGTGGGCCACCAGGTAGGGCTTGCAACGGAATTGCTTGGCGCACACCGGGCACACAAAGGGACGGTTCACCGCCGGCTGCAGGGAGGGCGGAGGAAGGATCCCGGCCAGCTGAGGCAGCGGCGTGGTGCCCCGGGCGCAAGACAAGAGCGCATCGACAGCCGGACGGGCGGGTAGGAAGGCATCCAGGCCAAGAGGTTCAGGCACTGGGTGTTGCAGGCTGGAGAAGGCTTCCCCATTGAAGGTCTCGAGCGGGTGCGGGCTGCCATGGGCGAGAGGTTCCCGCGCATGGATTTTCTGGTGGGAGATGAGGTTCGGCTTGTGGCGGAAGCTCTTCCCGCACTGGGCACACACGTACGGCTTCTCCCCGGTGTGGATGTGTTGGTGGGAGGCCAGGTACGCCTTGCTGCCAAAGGACTTGCCGCACTCCTGACACTGGTAGCGCCGCTCGCCCGTGTGCACCTGCCGGTGGGCCAGCAGGTTGGGCTTGTGGCGGAAGCTCTTGCCGCACTGCGTGCAGGCATATGGCCGGTCGGTGGCCAAGTGTGCCAGCGCCTCCGCTTTGGGCACCGAGCCGGCAATGCCCTCAGCGGCCATGTGGGCCATCTGGTGGGTCACCAGCTCCTCCCAGCCTTGGAAGCTCCACCCGCACTGGTCGCAGATAAACTCCCCGTTGCTCGGCAGGCCGGGCGCCTGGTGGCCTGGCAGTGGTTGTGGCCTGTAGCAGAGTGTCAAGGGGTTGAAGTTGGCGGCCGGCAGGCCCTGCTGGTGCAACGCCATCTCTGGCCAGAAGGGCAGCATGCCCTCGCCCTGGCTGCTGGGGAAGGGGCTGGCCCCGGTGCCCATGTCACCCAACGTGGGGCCGGCCTGCTCTGGGGCGTAGAGGGAGCCTCCGGCTGCCTGGGGGACCAGCTGGCGCCACTTACGGATGTGGAGACGCCGGTGAGCACCCAAGGCGATGCGTCCTGGGAAGCTGCGGCGACACTTGGGGCACTTGTAGGGTTTCTCCTGTGTCCGAGGGCTGGCTTTTGACTCCAGGACGCCCTCTCCTTCGCCTGCAACGGGTGCTTTTCCTCCAGGCTGCAGAAGTGGCCGTTTGGGCTTCTTTCCCGGCATGGAAGGATGGGAGATGCGGGGCTTCTTCATATGCTCCGGAGGCCCTTGCAACTCCTTGGTGCTTTTTGCCGCCACCTCCTCCAGACTCACCACTGTGAAGAGACAAATTGTTTGGGGTGAGTGGATGAGGAGTTTGAACCCGGGACAATTGGGGAGGCTTTGCCCCCCCTTCCTCCCCCCCTCTGGAGCTGCTTCCAGGGTGGGTTTGAACCCCAAAATAAAGAACTTATCCCTGTTCATTTGGGGGGGCTCACCCCCAAAAGGTCCCCTGGGGACATTTCTCCTTGCCGGGGGAGATTTTTTTCCCCTGCCATTGTCTTTTCTTTTTCTTTCTTTCTTCCCTTCCATCCTTTCTTTCTTTCCTTTTTTGCTTCCTTCCTTCCTATTTTTCCTGTCTTTCTGTTTTTCCTTCCTTCCTTCCTGTCTTTTTTTTTCTTTTCTTCCTCTTTTCTTTTTAATCTTTTTCTTAGTTTTCTTCCTATCTCTTTCTTTCTTCTTTCATCCATCTTTTCCCTTCCTTCCATCTTTCCTGCCTTCCTCTTTTTAACTTTCTTCATTTTCTTCCTATCTCTTTCTTTTTTCATCCCTGTCTTTTTCCTTCCTTCCATCTTTCCTTCCTTTCTTTTTTCTCTTTCTTTGTTTTCTTCCTCTTTCTTTGTTTCCTCCCTATCTTCTTCCGTCCTTCTTCCCTTCCTTCCTTCCTTCCTTCTTTTCCCCAAAGTTTTTTTTATTTTTATCTTTTATAAAGATCTCTTTTGGTGAACAGTGCGACTCCAGGTTTTTACATTTCCATACAAACATGACCATAATTACATATCTATCTTTCATTTTCAGTTTCTTTCCCTTCCTTCCTTTCTTCCTTGCCTCCCTCCTCCCCTTCCTTCCTTCCCTTCCTTCCTATTTGCCTCTCAGGACCCCAGGTAGAAAATGACCCGATCCAGGCAGAATCATCACCCAACACCCCAAGCCGGTACAGAGTGGGAAACCCCTCTGATGCCCTGCCCGGAACCCCTTTCCCCTTACCTTGGCACTCCTCATCCTGCCCTGGGGGTCGTCTGGCACCTATCTGTGGCACCCCTCCTTGTGCCAGCTGGGACAGCAGGTCAGGGATGGCCAGCAGGCATTCTGCAAAGGGAAAGAAGAGGGTTGGACTAGAAGACCTCCAGGGTCCCTTCCAACTCTAATTCTGTGAGGATCTCCTGCTCGGGGAGGGGATCGGGCTAGAAGACCTCCAGGGTCCCTTCCAACTCTAATTCTGTAAGGGTCTCCTGCTCTAGCGGGGGGTCAGACTAGAAGGCCTCTGAGCTCCCTTCCAACTCTTACCCAGGGAGGAGACTAGCTGGAAGTTCTCGGCCATGACGTCGCGGTAGAGGTCCTTCTGCCAGCCGGCCAGCTCTGCCCATTCCTCGGCAGAGAAGCAGATGGCCACATCCCCGAATGCTGCCAGCACCTGTAGGGAAGATGGCCAGGTGAGGACAGGGCAGGGGAAGGGGTAGAGGAAGACCTCCCTGCAAAAAAAAAAAAAAAAATTGCACAGAACTTCCCCCCCTTTTCCCCTATTTCTCCCTTCTTTCCCTTTTCTCCTTCCCTTTCTTCTGTTTTCCTTTCATCCTCTCTTCCCTTTTCCTTCTTCTACTTCCTTCCTTTTTGGTCTTTCCTTTGCTTCCTTCCTTCTCTTTTCCTTCCCTCCCTCCCTCTTTTCCCTTCCGTCTTCTTTGCTTCCTTCCCTCCCTTTCTCTTGTCCTTCCTTGTCTTTCTCTTTTCCTACCTTCCCTCCCTTTCTTTTTCCTTCCTTTCCT